ACTAAGACTGCTACAACTCCAATTAAGGCAAATGCCAAATTTGATGCCAACAATGGAACTGCTCTTTCAAATCCTACATTTTATCGACAGTTGGTTGGTAATCTTGTATATCTTACCGTTACTTGTCCTGATATTGCCTATGTTGTTCACATAGTTAGTTAGTTCATGATTGTACCGCGTACGACTCACTTTGCCGTTGTCCTTCGTATTCTTTGCTATGGAAGAATAACTTATTTCAGGGTCTTCATTTTTCCACCGACTCTACTTTGGAGTTGAAGGCTTATTCTGATGCTGATTGGGCTGTTGACCTTCTTGATCGTCATTCTACTACGAGCTACTGCTTCTTTCTTGGTACCTCACTTATATCATGGCATAGCAAGAAGCAGATCGTTGTTGCTCCATCTAGCACCGAAGTAGAATATCGTGCTCTTGCTGATACGATATCAAAATTACTTTGGTTACGATGGTTATTAGAAGACACGGGAGTTCATTATAACGGTGGAACAATCATTTATTGTGATAACCAGAGTACCATTCAAATAGCTTATAATGATGTCTTCCATCAGCACACCAAGCATATTGAAATTGACTATCATTTCATACGATCTCATGTGCTTCATGGGATTGTACGACTTGTTTCAACTTCATCCACTGATCAAACTGCTGATATCTTCACAACGGCACATCCGCCTGGGTGTTTTCGAGATATTTTCTTCAAACTCTAGTTGACTTCTTTGATGTCACATTAAGTTTGAGGGGGATGTTAGATATATTTACATTATCTTAGATTATTTACGATATTGCAGATATCTAATATATTTTGGATATCTTCACGATATCCTGGATATCTATAATATTTTAGATATCTTTGTGATTGATCGTAACTGATTGAGTAATATTTTGTTACTCTAGATGATTGACTAGTGAAACCTATAAATAAGCTCATGTACTCCTTATCTTTTCATCATCAAATATACAAAAATTCTTCTCTTTTGCTTTAGTTTTAATTCAATGCATAAGAATACAACCACAAAAAGGGTAAATTCCTGACTTTTAGCCCAATGTGTAATGTCGTTCATGAACTTTTAATTTGTTTAATATGATCCATGAACTTTTGATATATGTTTAATTTAGTCCCTAGACTGTATATAAAGTTTCAATGTTGTCTATCAACTTTTGTTTTTCTTTTGTTAGTCTATCAACTTTTGTTTTGTCGTCTACCAAATTTTATTTGTCTCTTTTTTAAATTCCTTAAATTTATCAATTTTATTTATATGACTTGCCAGTTTTTCTCTCATAAAGTTACCAACTGCTTTTTTTTTTTTTAATCAAGTCATATTAGAGTTGGTTCCGGTGTTCATTCGAACCTTTTTTTATGGTAAATTTATCAACTTTTTATTAAGTTGCCAACTTTTATATGCAATTCTTATTAACTTGTTCAATTACCAACTATTCTCGGAAATTACCAACCTTAATTAAAGCGATTACCAAATTTTATCCAATTAAGTTACTATAGAGTCTTACATTACCAACTCTTATTTGAATTAGCTACCAATGTTAATTTTGTTTCTTTAAATTATCGTCATCTTTCACCTCTAATTTTTTTTGTTATCATTTATAAACTTTTATTTACCTTTCTTACCAAGAGCTTGACTTGACCAACAATTATATGAAATTATCAACCTTTATTTATGTGATTTACAAACTTTTCTCCAATTAAATTACCAAGTAGTTCTTAGTTGCTAACTCTCATTTGAGTTGTTTACTGATATTTGTTTGTATTTCATAAATTTACTAACTTTTTATTGACTTACTACTTTTACTTGCCTTACTTACCAACTTAAAATTTACCTACTCTGTTTAGCAATTACCAACCATAATTAGAGCGATACTTACTTTTCTCAATAAAGTTACCAATTAGTTTTGTGTCACCAACTCTTTCTTGAGTAGTTACCAGCACATACTGAGTTTTTTTAATTACCACTTCTCTTATGTAATATTTGGGTGAGTCAAGGGTGGGGCCTTATAAAAAAAAAAGAGAAAAGAAATGTTGAAAAGTCAAAAAAGAGAATATGTGGACTTCGGTTCATTATAAAGGCCGAGAGATGCACACTCGAGAAAGAGGAAAGAAAGAAAAAAGAAGAAAAAAGAAAAGGAAAGAAAGGAAAAGGAAAGAATGAAGAGGGCTTTCATGCGTCCATGCCACGAATGTTTTGCCAAGCTGATTCAACTACGTATCGCAACGTCGGGTAAGTGCTCACGGCCCTCGTTCGTCCAATCGGAGAAGTTTTTTGGAATTAGTGCTTCACTTTGAAATTTTGTGAAATCGAGTTGTAAAGTCTGACTTAAGAGTTGTTGAGCTGAGATATTATGGGGTTTTGATAGCTTAGGGTGTTAGTTATAGCACTTTATGGAACTCGATTTGAGCTTGTGATTTGTCCGAAATGAATTTTCAAATTTTCCCGTGCGTGATGAACAGTGCACGCCTAGCGACTTTTGAATCAAATTTCGTTGGTTTTTAGCTCGATTTTGGGTTGGTCAGGTTGTAGATCTTCTAGTGCTTCAAAAGATCTTCCTTTTGACTGTAAGCTTGCTTGAAACGGGATTCGGTGGAAAGAGATATTACGTAATCAAGTTTCGTGCTCAAGCTCCGCATTTCGTATAACTTTGAATATCCCCTTTGGTTGAGAGTTTTGTTAGCGTGTAGAAGTCACTTTGTTAGCGCTTAAGCGTAGTTTAGCTGTTTCGTAGTTGTCATAATGTTTTACTTGGTTTTGACGTTGATTCTCGTTTAGCGTTAGGATTGCGAGGTCAACGGTTCGAGTAATCTTTGTTGTTTGGTTTTTAAGCATTTCCAAGTGAGCAATGCTATCTCTTTTTTGAGTTTATAAACTCATTTTTTGAAAGTGATAAGGATTTGAGTATCTTAGAGTTATTAAAGCATGTTTGTTGAACAAAAGTCTGGATCGGACAATAACTATCTTTTGATATTCGAGAACGATTTGAGAATGGTTTTAAGAAAGATATTGCGATTACATATATGTATTACGTTACGAACTGATTTACGGAATGAGCTAAATGATTTGAGAAACGTTTTTTGAAAAATGATTTGTGAAGAATTCTGAAATGATGTGAGAAATTTCTTGTGAAATGTGTTCATTTTGACGAACGAAGTTGAGAAAGATTATGTGTTTTGTTCTGTGAAATCAATTGGTGATATTTATTGTTGATTTAATTCATGGTACTGGAGGATGTGGGTTTTGTGCTCAATATTGCTATGAACACATTGAGGGCTTTGTGGGTATACATAATGGTTAGGATATTCTTGTAGGTTGAGCAAAAAGGTTTTTGCAGGTGGAAACCTTGCCAAGGGGGGAATCTTGATCACCTTATCATAAGGCGTTGTGTCGTGACCATTATTAGATATTTGAGGACAAGTTTGGTCAATTGATGGACCATTGACATGTGATTTGAGATTGGCCAATGGAATGGACCACTGGTGTGTTGTTTGATGAGATTAATCAATGGAATTAACCATTGATATGTGAGTTGTTGATATTGATCAATGAACTGGACCAATGATGTTTGTTGTGATATTATTAATTAAATAATGCTTTCTGATATGTATACGGTTTTGTTGAAGCATATATAACACATTCTTATCTTGTATGTGTATTATATACTGGAATTGAGATAAGTGAGTTTTGATATTGTTTTATAAAGTGCATAGTGGGTGCTTGATCTGCTTAGAAGAGATATGTACTACTCATTGAGTTGTGGTTACTCACCCCTTTCTCTTCCCAATTTTTTCAAATTCCTTGATTAATGGCCATCTGGGAGTTGTTTTTTTTTTTTTTGAGGCTGCATTCTTCAAATGGAAGGACGGCCGTGTCACTTTCCCTTTCTAGTAGGTTCCGGGGTTTGACATCTTATCTCTAACAAAAAGAATTTCTCTTATATTTACCAATTTTTGTTTACCTTTCTTACTAATACCTCAAGTTTAACAACTATTATATGAATGCTTGGTTTGTTTCATGAAAAATTTGACATTTCGAGGAAATATTTTCCAAAAAGTAATTTTTCAAGAAAATTACAATATTTATGGCTGAATTCAAAAAAAATTATGTTCCATCATTTGGAAACGAAAACTTACTTTTATTTTCCTAAAGACATGCATTATTTGTACAATCTAAGGGCTGCACACGCTATATCATCAAATTTTCAATTAAATCTTATCGAATTAAATTTTCATAACATAAATACTTGTCTAGATGATAAAAAATTACTATTTTTATCTTGTAGGAAAGTGGACGTAGACCAAGTGGAAGGCCGAACCATTTTATATCTATCTTGAAATATTTTCTATCTCTTCAATTCCTTTATTATCTACTTGATAGAGGCTTTATACATAACCGTTTTCCTTCTAGAAAAACATTTTCTATAGATTTTCGCGAAAATGTTTCAATTTTCATAAAACAACCAATTCACTCCATCTTTATAGTTGTGTTAGTCATTTCATAATTAGCTGAAAAAATTGATGGAATATCAATTTTCTAAAAGCAGAGCGGATCTAGACTTAAAAGTCACAGGGGTACCAAGAAACTATACTTGACTGATGAAATAAATTGAACGGGGGCAAGACAGCTAATTCGGGTAATTGATTCCGGCTTATAGCTAATTTATATCTAGTGCTGTGATCAAACTTTTGATCATCCCAACTAGTCTTAATTATACCAATCCTCAATTTTTTCATCACATGAGAATAGTGATGGGTACGGCAGGAGGTATTGCCACGGGGAGGGGAAATCGAACTAATCCTGGGCTCTTCTAGTGAATGTGGGTACATAAACCCATGCCACAGAATATGAAAACCGACAAACTGAAAATCCATGCTTAATCAATGAAAAAGATCAGCAGTTTCAAATGCTTCATCGGGGAGTCCAGCAATTAATTGGAAGCATGTTGTGAATTGCACGACACAAACATAAAATTGAGCGAGAGTCATTTTGCTTATCTTGATTAAGAGCTGATTAAGAGCTCGCTCCAGGGGAACCAAAGAAATACAAGGATAACATTATGGCCAGATACATAAGGCCTTATTCTTTCTGATCTGTTATTGAAACGGCCTTCCTGAATCAATTATTTATCCATATTTTTGGCAACAGCAATTCATCGTATCATTTTTTGAAAGCAAGAAGATCGGCATAATATTTGGCTATCCACCCTTTTATAATCTCAACTTCAGCTTTTCGCTGCATGACCAACCAGTCTGGATCGGTTTGCTTCCCTGCAAATAAATCCAAACAGTGGGAACCTGCAAAGCATATAGTCACATATTAAAAATTCAAGATCCTCTGATTTTGTTTTACATGCATCAACATTGTTCTTCTCTTGTGTGATTCACGGGTATGCGAGATAAAGTCCCAAACAACAAATACATCACCTGGTTATATACCTTTCTCTGTATAGATAGCTACGATACTGTCCGAGATGTTTTTCAAGACCCTAAGATTGAAAAAGAGAAGAAATTGTCAAGCATGATTAAGAAAGGTAAAATTTTTATTCTTTGGATGTATGGAAAGAAGCATATAATTATTGATACCTTGCACTACTCCAAGGATCTCGAAGTCCATTTGAGAAAATAATGTTGCTACCGAACCTACGAAGAACTAGCTCTACATCCTGCAAAAACGAAAAAAAGGCAAAGGACGACGATGGTAAGGTTTACTTTAAATTTATGTGTAGAAACCAATTTAATTTACTAATAGAAATAAGAGCCAAACATATATTTCTAAGAGCCACCGGAAATCATACATGACCGCCATAGTAGGTAGTGATCCAATGTGGGCGAGGTGCGACACCGAATGAGTTGTTGCATCCATCAACGAAGCTGCTCAAGACAAAAGGTTCTGGTGGGAACATGGAGTTGTTTGTGATGCCTATGGGGATTACCAATTCGCTGCATCTCTGCAAGCAATCTCCCTTTTAGTTCGATACAAACGCAAGTTTTCTTAGACGCTACACAATTGTAAGAGGAAATTTTCAAGAATGGAATAGTGCAATTAAAGTAGATCCGATCAATGGGCGCGCTAGGATCGGTCTGAAGATAGACCTGATGATCCCTGCATTATGACAAAAGGCCATTGCCCAAGTCCACCGAAATGGTTGATCATTCGGACTCGAAAAGGGAAAAGTTTTCCTAACCCTATCTACCTTGAAGCAAAGTTAGCTCTGCCAAGTCCGAATCAACCCGTGAGACCGAAATGCATTATCCAAACGCGCCTAAATAACCGAAGACCCATCGGGCCTCCTCGAATGCTTAAATATGATAATTTAGAGTATTGTACCTGCCACCTCCAACCCAAGTCAGTTTGAGACATATTAGCGGGAGGATTGACGTAGCATGTGGAGTTTACGTTATAGGCAACAACGCCCGCAAATATTTTGCCAAGAATGCCATGTTCAGTAGTGTTTGCTCCGTCGATGCCCTTACATATCACTGTCACGGGATATGTAGGTGGATGATCTCCTTGGGCCGTTATCGTGTACAACGATTTCAAGTAGTTCTTCAGCTCTTTCCCACTCTCTAAAGGCCTAACACATCCGCGAAAAAAAAAACAGTAGTTAGTCCATTATTGATCGAATCACTTTAGTAAATTAAAATTCACAGATGTTCTTAAGACTCAATTTACCCTTGAAGATCGTGAAATATGACACCGAACTGTAGAGTGTGCACGGGTTAAGTTCATGATCTCAAAAGTTAAAGTTGAGTCAATTCAACCCCCTAAAATTGAGAAATTGGATGGCTATACTCCATTGCATTTGACTCATTTGGGGATTGAGACATATAATAGATGAAGCCTCAGACAACATACTTGCAAGTCTTGAACATCTTGCTTAAGTTTGAAAGGCCATTAGGCTCATCAGCAACCCTATCGATCTCTGACCATGAGTTTCCTATAGTTTGGTAGCAAGTCTCACTAGTGTCCTGTGCAAAATGAACAAGGTTCAACACAAGCTATAAAAAGAAACAGTAGATATAAAGACTCCAAAGGTTACTTGGGTGGTAAGTTTCTATGTCTTTCTCATTTAAGGTATGGTTACATAACCATACCATTGAGTTCTCTTGATGCCATATCCTATGGGCATGAATATGTGTACTCGTGTACTTACCTTCTGTGCGTGAGATGGAAGATAGGGATATTACGTCAACCAATAGATGTTCTTTGGATGCTCGACAAGTTTCAGACGCCCCATGATTAGGAAAAAGAAGGAAGAGAAATTACAAGTGCTGTTACCTTGAAATCCTTGGTGACCACTGAATAGTATGCATCTTGCGGGGTAATATCGTCAAAGTACAATATGGGAGCTGATGAGGCTAGCGCTCCGAGAGCCACATGTGGATACCTCAGGCGGAACCACAAAGCTAGCACTGAAATTTGCATTAGCTATAAGAATTTGATGATTTAAGAAAACAAGATGATATATTTTTTTCACATAAAATAGAAATTACTATTTAGTTGAAAATGAAGGGCGGTGACAGCTCATCATTTTCACATAAGATTTATACCATTGGTTTTTCACATACTCTGTTATTTCTTTCTACCACACACATATGATAAGTTTGGAATCAGAATCAACTTTTTCATATTTTAATTAATATGTGGCTCAGACCGTAAAAAAATCAAATACTCCACGGTTTATGTTCACCAATATAGATAGACTATTTTGCCCATTGCACTTACTTCCTCCATATGATCCTCCCACGACAATAACTGGAGAACTTCTGGCTTTCAAGTTCTGCTTCACGTGTATGATAATAGCTGCATAATCGGCCAAAGCTTGGGCCGAGCTAAAATACCCACGAACATTTGCATCATTGAGAGCTTCTTCGAAGCTCATCCCAAGTGGAATTGACTCACCAAAATACCGATGCTGACACGAAAAAATTCCACAAGAAAAGAAGTTTTATTTACGTAATTAGAAGCTTAAATTAGACAAAAGGAACATTCATGCACGGACCCAAAAAAAAAATAAAATGGCAGAAGTCAAATGTGCTACCTCAATATAAACTAATAAAGCTTTAAATTGAGCTGCGTTGTCTCTTAGAAACCCGACAATAGTCGGGGCTCCATCGATTGGCGCTTCATTACCGAGGTAAACGAAGATCGGCGCATCAGAATTTGCACCGCCCCAGTATTTGGAGTCAATCAAGTATCTTTGTTGGAAGATAGTGTAGCTCTCAGGTCTATAGTCGAAATGATCGAGCGTTTGGTTGAAAAAGAGGGTTTCGAAATCATTTGTTATGGATGCCGAAACTGCACGTTCGGGATCTTGGAGGATGTCTTCACGGTGTAGACTCAGCGTTGGAGGGTCAAGTTTCTGCCCAGAAATTGAAGCTGTGGATAAAATGAAGGAGATGATCAGAGAAAGCCTAGAAAGAGTCATGATGTGTGTAGTGTGGACAAGAAGTATGTTTATGAAGAGCTCTAGTAGGACAATGAAATGAGACACCTTCATAAGCATATATATAGGCATCTGCCGTCCTGGGCCATGGTTTGAAGTGAATTGAGCACTTATTATATGTCTGTGTTCTTTAGACATCTTCTGGCTAAATTGTACAATTTATTAATTATTCAAGAACCTCTTGATAAGAAGGACTAGCTCAAGATAAGTAAAGCATGACCCGGCATATGATTAATTGGCTACAGTTTGATGCATCCCTATTTCAAATACTAGATTATGAATTTAAATAAGAAAATTTATTGTGGATTCAAATTCTAGATTATGAACTAAACGGGATAATAACAATTGACTTCCGCAATTTCCACGAATTGAGCTTAGGAAAAACACGAGGGAGGTGTCAGATTCGTTTTGCCAATATACGCTTTGTCATTTGTGAAGAACTTTCATTTTCCTTGGGTCTTACGCAGAACTTTCTTCTTTTTAGTCGTTCCATGATTATTTTTAAAACGGTGCCCATGCTGACATTCAAATGCTCTTCATAATTTATGTGTTAGGTCAGACTTGTGTAATTGATTACCTAACCTTTTCAAACTTTCTAGTCTCACAATATTGAGTAGCTAAAAAAAAAATATTTTCTTCAGCAGAAAATCGTGTAATTCCGGTTCATATATCGCTGTTTGAGTAATTAAGAAGAGAATCCGCATCGACGTATATATTCTAGATAAAAATTGAACTTTGAAACTTTGATGGTAGACCATGGAGAGCATAGTAATTAAAAAAATTGATGCCGAAGAAAATCACACTGAAGGGTCAACATTTTCTAGATGAATCCTCATTATTTTATTTCCAAACCACCTACTACCTTTCTTGACCAAAAAGAAAAAAAATCGCATACTTCCTTCAAATCTAGTAGATGAACATTTTGGTGTAATTACTAGATGTATATACTCGGGGTGAGCATGATCTGGGCGGGCGGTTCCCAACATGGAACCAGGAACCGCCCACTAAGGACCGGTTCTGAGAAATTAGAACTAAGAACTGCTCGTTGGTTCCATGGACCCACCCGGGAACCGGATCGGACCAGCGGTCTGGTTCCTGGGTGGATTCATAGAACCGGTCCCACAAAGTTTTACGCAATTGGAGGTGATCGAGAGTGAGAGAAGGAGGTGATGAATGGCTAGAGGTGCTGCAGTAAGTTGATGGGAGTTGAGAGTCGAGTTTTAAATTAGGGATTTTATGGTTTTCATTTTTTTAAAAATGTTTTCTTTTTTTTTTTTGTTGAAATTTTTCTTAAAAATTATATATATATATATATGTATATGTATATGTATATGTATTTATTAGCTGTCCAGTCCGGGTAGGCGGGTGGGCGATTCCACGCCTAGAACCGGGAGCTGGATCGGTACTCACCGGTTCTAGTTTACTAGAACCGGGAATCGGACCGGTCCTCATGGGAACCGCCAGTTCCGGGCCGGTCCAGTCCGGTTTCGGGCGGTCCGAGCGATTTCCGGTTCCTTTGCACACTCCTAGTATGTACATATGTATGTATGTTTGTATGCATGCATGCAGCATTCCAAAAGACCCACATTGATTGGTGGAGGGTTTGTTGAGTAACTTATAAGTTAACATCCACTCTAAATTGATCACAAATTAGAGGTGGTAAAATGGGTCACGAACCCATATTTTAACTCAATTTAATAGGTGGAGTGATAAATCGGCTGCTTAAAATTTAAAATATAGATTGGAATGGGCTTAACAGAGCAAAACCAAATTAATAATATGTTCTTGTGAATTTGGAAAGAGCTCAATTTTAACTCATTTGTTCAAGATCAATTGCTAAGGGTATCTTACGGTCACACTGAATAGACACTCTCCATTTTAAAGGCCACACAGCCAATGGAAGTGGTCACATATACCCATTAATTACAGTTCTAAAGCTTTTGAAGTATGAATTTTTTTTTATGAGATAGATCCATATTGCTTACTTATTTTTCGGTCCGAGCGAGCTATGCTTAGGCCAAATTAGGCCTGCCAAGTTGCCACCCCATTGTCATATCTAGGACCAACTACCAAAGGTTTGATACCTTAGGATGGAAATTAATGAATGATTAGGTGTAACTCGAAGTATAAATTCTCTTATCTTCATTCAAAATGATGATATTTTTCATGTAGAAATGGGCTTGCATGGATAATAATGCCGTGCTCCTAAAGTCACTAAAAATGTCTTTGTTAGTAGAAATAAGACAGATTTAGCCAAGAGATAGATATTGAGATGATAGAGCGTTGGAATGTGCTCCTCTTCATATCCCACCGAGTTATAGATGCACACAAATCCTAATCCTGGATTGAAGATATATATTTTATGTTAAGGGTTTTTTTTATGGAAATGATTTGGCGTCATGATTTAGCTACATATAAGCGAATGTTAGCTAATAAATAATATATTGGATTAGCCGATAAATCCTAGGGGTTCGCTAATTAGGCAGACGGTTGGATTTCATAGCTAGAAAAGTGTGGGTTCTCACGTGAGAATTGTTCATGGAAATTGACCTCGCATACGACTTTATTGAAAACCCAAGAAGCAAGGAATAATTAACTATCTTTTTCCACTTCCTAGGTACTCAGCGTGAATTGATTGTGCCTTTTTCCCTATAAAAGAAATTTAACTGGATATATATTTCAAACCACATCTTGCCCCAACTCTAAATTCCAGCGGACGGTGTTAGTGGACAGAAAATGATTGAACGTCGGAAAACAAATTGAGATTTAATATATCAAACATTATTGGTTATAAAGATCAAGAAAATAGACAAAGGAAGGAAAGTAACAAAAAATTTGAAGTTTAGTGGGTCGGATCGTGAAACAGCCCCAAAAGTCCTTTTTCATATAATCATCCAGCCTAGACACGCCCAAGTGGGCCTATGCGGAAGGATTCGAGCTAAAAAAAAAATTGCTTGTCAGGCCCGCCCAATTTGGGTTTCAAGCCTTCTTGGCTCGGGCAAGCCTGGTTTGACCTGATAAAGCCAGTGACTCATGATTAGATCTAGTAATAACCTATAAATGTGGTGTTGTTTCAAGCGGGTCTGCCAATTTGTGTCATTGTTGTGCTAATAATGTCATGTCGAAACAACAGTATAGCACGAATATGGCTAACCCAAGCAACAAGACACATCTGCCTCGACACAAATACGACACGCTGGATAAAGCAGATTACACAACACGATTAACGCGATTATTGAATGTGTTATAGTATTCAGTGTCAATGTATATTAACCTGTAGTATTCAGTGTCAATGTATATTAACCTGTTTACTAATATAAATTAATTAGTTTACACAAGAAACATGTAAAACGTGTTTACACACGGTAAGTTACAATAATATATCGAACACATTTCCCGACATTATGAGTATTTTCAGTTCACATCAGTGTACTAATGTTTTTAGTTTTTCTTTATGTTCAATGACCCTTCTCACAAGAACATAGACGGGGCACACAACTCTGGTCTTTATTCTCAACACTATTAGCATTATTTAATGTAATGACATTCCCATGTGATGTATATTAATTATTTTCCAAAAGCACGAAGATCGGCATAATATGTGGCAATCCATTTTCTTATAATCTCAACCTCATTTTTCCGTTGCTTGACCAACCAGATAGGATCTTTTTCGGTAGTTGCAAGTATGTCCAAACAATGAGAACCTACATGTAAGAAATTAATTTTACATCATTAATTTCAGCAATCCAATCAAAATCCGAAGATGGAAAGATAATCCATTCCATTTCTTTGGTTCGACAAGAATCAAGTCGACGGATACCTTTAGCTGTGTAGACGGCGATGACAGTATCCGAAATATTCTTCAAGACCCTATAATTGATGACATATAAGAATGATTTTGAAATCTTATCCAATTCAGTGATACTTTCATAGAAATCTATAGGTTTTGATTCTACACTTACCCGCCGCTGCTGTAAGGATCTTGAAGCCCATTGGAGAAAATAATGTTGCTAGCGAACCTATGCAAAACAAGTTTTATGTCCTGCAATTTTCCAGAGTCAATGAAGTAACTGAAGAGTGTCATATGTTATTTGCTCATAAAGAATGTTATATATATTATGAAAATTAAAGAAGTATCCTATATATATGATTTTATTTTTGTGACTGTACATGACCACCGTAATAAGTAGTGGCCCAATGTGGCCGAGGTGCGACGCCAAATCTTCTCTTGCAGTCATTCACGAACTCATTTAGGTCGAAGGGAAATGATTGAAACATAGTATTGTTGATGATGTCATAACGAGCCACCATCTCGCTACATGTCTGCAGAGCAAAAAACCTCCATTTTGTTAGTACAATTCAAAACTCGAAGGTTGATAATTATGGCGAAAAAGTTGGAACTTGTGTTCTTGACTATCAATCTACTAAGCACATCACTATTAGGTGTAGCCAATTAGGACTTAAATGAATCATACTATTATTGAGCTACTCCTGCTCGACCATTAGACTACATAGACTTTGCTCAGAAATATAAGATGCATATTATGCTGAATCTTGGAGTTATTCGTTCATCAGTCGAGTTTAAAATTAGCTTTGTTTTTTCATAATCAATCCAAGTCAATTTCAACTGATAGTAGTAAACTAAAATCCGTTCATGATATCGGTCTATGGTGTGTACCTGCCAATGCCAACCCAAATCAGTTTGAGATGGAGGTGGAGAAGGTGGATTCACGTAGCATGTCAAATTTCCATTGGATGCGACGAGGCCTGCGAAAATCTTCTTGAGAATGTCATTTTTTGGAGAAGCTCCATCAATGGAATTGCATATCGCTTCCACCGGACGTCTGAATGGATCATTGTACTGAGCAGCACCAGCGTAGATCCCTACCAAGTGGTTCTTGAGCTCTGAAGAACTTTGCAATGGGCTAAAAAAAGAGACAAAGATATGCATTATGAATTGTAAATTCGTCTATAAAACATATCTTTTCTACTTTTAAACTTATATCGGAGCTTGAAACCATTATCTCATATTAGAAACATTCACTTTGTTTAGTGAAAGTTCATGCTATTATGGAATAAATCGTCAGTGTAAAAAAAGGTTTTCACAAACGTCTTATCCGCCCTAAATTTGGAGGTAAGTGAGGGAGTTGATAGCTGAAACTCTCCAATCAAGAATGGATAAACAGCTTGTGTAAAGGTTCTTTTCACCGTTGGTGTATGCTATAAATTTTCTATTAGATATATCTAACAACTTTTTATTTTCTAAGAATTACTTATACTACAGAACATACTGAAAAGTCTCCAAAATACAAAATGATGCATGATCTCAATTCCATCATCCACGCACCTGCAAGTTTTGAAAGTTTTGCTCAATTTCGTGAGACCATGAGGCTCAGAAGCAACTCTATCGATTTCGTCCCAGGATTGTCTTATGGTTTGGAGGCAAGAAAAACTAGCTTCCTGAAAAATTACCCGAACAATTAGTCAAGTGATTGATTTGATTATAGAAAATGCATGCTCAAGGAAAAAAGATATAAATTAAGCAAATTAAGATTACCAAAAAATCTTTTGCGACTACTGAAGCGTATGGGTCATGAGGTGTGAGGTCGTAAAAGTAGAGAATTGGAGCGGATGATGCCAAAGCTCCGAGTGCCACATGAGGGTACTTCAATCTAAACCACGAAGCTAGCACTGAAAATTAAATATATTAAGATTGAAAGACCTACTTATAAGTGATATGTAGAATACATGCCGTCGATGGTTTCCTCTTAACCGGACGTAGGAACTTTCTTCGATGCCATTCAGGGCAAGCTATCGGACTTTATAGGAATTGTCGTTGTCAATAAGACTAGCGCTCTCTAGGAAAAACTCTATCCATGAAATGTTCAAGAACAATGACCTTGGGCAGATTAAAATTGTCCTCTTCAATGCAAGCTGCGGGCTATTTTCTTCAATTTCGATTTATAGCGGTAGTCATATTGCTGCTATGTGAAAATATATTCACTTACCTCCACCATATGATCCTCCAATGACAATTACCGGAGAATGTTTGGCATTCAATTTTTGTTTCAGGTATACAATGATTTCCGCGTAATCGGCAAGAGCTTGCGCCGAGCTGAAATATCCGCGAGTATTGGGGTCATTTAGTGCTTTGTCGAGTGTCAACCCATACGGGATTGATTCACCATAAAACCGATGCTGCAAGATGTCAACTTTACATTCGTAAAATGCGTAAATGCATGCCAAACGTAAGGGAAAAAAAGGAAAAAGTGTCAGAAAAGTCATAAATCTATTGCATTAATGCCAATTTAGTCATAAACCTTTTTTTTTGTGTCAATTCAGTCCTAAACTTTTTATTTTTGTGCCAATTCAGTCCTTTCGGCTAATTTTTGTAGGCTTCTGTGGCACCGCCTGTGATGACGTTGATAACTTTTAATAATATTTTAATATTTTTGGAATTTTTTTAAAATTTTTTCTTTTCTTTTTTTTTTCCTTTCCCTTTTTTCTTCCTCCAGTCGGTCGCCGATCTGGCTGGCAATCGGCTGGAGGCCAGGCTGACGAGCCATGTTGGCCCTTAGCAAGGCTCGACCTCACCAGCGATGGCGATGGCGAGCCTCGCTCAGCCACTGGGGAGGCTCACCCGCGACCTCGCGGCCACTAGCAAAGGCTCGAGCCCTTGCCAGCGGCTAAGCGAGGCACGATCTCGCCGGATTTGGCGAGGTCGAGCCTCACCTATGGCTGACTAGGCTCGACCTTCGCCAGATTCGACGAGGGCTAGCCCCTCCAGCCCAGCACAAGGCCGCCCTCGCTAGAGGTAGAGACCTTGCGGCCACTAGCGAGGGTGAGGCTTGCCGTCGCTCGACCCTTGCCAGTGGCTGGTGGGGCTCACCAGAGGTGAGCAAGGTCCCTTGCCGGCCTTGGCCTCTAGCTGGTTGCTAGACCGGCGACCGGCTAGAGGAAGAAGAAAGGGAAAGAAAAAAAAAGAAAAAGAAAGAAAAAAGAAAAGAAAAAGAAAATAATTTTTTATAAAAACTAAAATATTTGAAAAATATTAAAACATTTTAAAAGTTGTTCACATCATCGCTAGCGGTGCCATGTCAGTCAGCCGGCGTCCATGTCAACAAAATCCAATCAAAATTAGCAAGAAGGACTGAATTGACACAAATACAAAAGATTTAGGACTGAATTGGCATTAAAAAAAGGTTTATGACTAAATTGGTATCAATGCAATAGGTTTAAGACTTTTTTGACACTTTTTCCGGGAAAAAGAACATACAACCAGTCAAATAATATGTGTCATTTTTATTACCTCTATATAGACCAAAAGCGCTCTAAACTGAGCCGCATTATCTGTCAGGAACCCTCTTCCATCACCCATGTCGTCGTCAATGGGTAGTTCTGCACCAAGATAAACGAAGATCGGGGTGCTTGTATTCGCGCCATCCCAGTATTTGAAATTGATCACATATCTTTGTTTGAAAAGAGTGTAACTTTCGGGCCTGTAATTGAAATGATCGAGGGTTTGGTTGTAAAAGAAAGTCTGGAAGTCCTTTGACAAGATGGAAGCCTGCATCGCCCGTGTAGGATCTTGAATAAATGTTCGACGGAGTCCGCTCAGCTTCGGAATATAGTAACCATCTAAGTTCTTCCCAGTAGCAACACAAGCTGAGAAAAGTATCAGAATGATCAAAAGGCTATAATGTGATGAAAACATGTTAGGGTGTCTGGTTATTGCACAGGCTAAAGCATGTATGTGAAGAGGAGGATCTTCGCGATGTTTTTTGGCGTGCGTCAACTATTTCACCTTCGTTGACCTTTATATAGAGCAACCCACGATGCCAGTTTGTACTATTACTTTCTATGCGAAATCCGAATGGATCACTTTCTTATTTGGATGAAAATTTCTTTTATTGACGGCCACACTAATTCACGTAACGATTTCTTTCCTGTTGGAGAAAAGCTATCCAGGATTGCCGCACCAAAGACATAGCTTCTTGGCTGGACTGTGGATATCTTTCTTTTTATATATATAGGTTGCTGAACAAGAAAATTACCATAAAAGCTCTAAATCAATTGCATTTGTATCAATTCAGTCCTAAACTTTTTGTATCTGTGCCAATTCGGTCCATCCGGCTCATTTTGGCCGGCCGGTGCTGACGTGGACGCCAGTCGACGTTGGCAGTCCAGGCAATGCTGACGTGGATAAATTTTAATAATATTTTATCTTTTTTGAAATTATTAATTTTTTTATTTTCTCTTTGCTTTTTCTTTTTTCTTTTTCCTTGTTTCTTTTCTTTTCTTCCTTCTTTTTTTTTTTGCCCCACAGTAGCTGGCGAGGGTTGTGGCCCTCGCTTGACCTTGCCTAGATCTAGGTGAGGCCTGGGAGTTGCAGGCGAGACCAGCCTCGCTATGAAAATGCCAGTTGCGGGCGAAGGCGGCCTTGCCCGCGGCTGGCTAGGCTATGGCCGATTGCCCAATTCGGCAAGGGCGGCCCTTGCCAGCCTAGGTGTGACATCCAAATATTCCTGCATTAATAAATAGTATGAAGGAAATGAATGCAATAAATGTCACAGGTTGAAATTCTAGTCGGATTACTAACAGGGTAGTAGCGGAAGGCATGAATTGTATTTTCCGTGTCCATAGTTTTTGGTAAATGATTCCATTAGGATTAGATTACAAAAAAATTATTCTTTTGTCGATTATTTAGAGTGACGATGAAGCATGTATCGCCACTTTGGTTGTTAATGAAGACTGATGCGCTTTGAAATTATGTATCGAATGAGTGGTATGTTGGAAATTTACAAAGTTGAGTCACTCTTAGCCGCCGGTAACTATGGACACTCTTAGTCGCTTTTAGTCAGTTTAAAATATTTTTCTGACTTTTCGATGATTTGAATGGACATTGATTTTCTTATTTACATACTGATTCACTAGATATCTTGGCAATTTATTCAAAATATCTAGTTTGGAACCACATGATTAAGCCGTTTGCTCGCGGGGTTCGGGGCGTGACACTCACAATATTGAGTTGTTAAAAAAATATTTTCTCCATCAGAAAATCGTGTAATTCCGGTTCATATATTGCTGTTTAAGTAATTAAGAAGATACTCCGCATTGTCAGATTTGGCGAGGTCTCATCCTAGCCCAGCAACGTCGCAACAGCGAGGTCGGCCTGGCCCAGATTGGCCAGAGGCTGGGGCCAGCAAGGTCGGCCCCGTCGGCCACTGGCAAGGACGAGCCATGACAGATCTGGCGAGGTCTCATCCTCGCCCAGCAACGTCGCAATGGCAAGGTCGGCCTCGCCAGTTGCCAACGAGGCTCGTCCTCACCCAGCAAAGTCGCTGGCGAGGTCGGCCTTGCCAACTGCCGGCGAGACCGACCTCGCCAGCCCTAGCCTTTGGCGGGTTTGGGCGAGGCTGACCTCGCTGTTGCGACGTTGCTAGGCAAGGACGGCGAGGCCGACCTCACAGTTCGTCGACCGGCTAGAGGTTAAAGATGAAAGGAGGAAAAAAAAGGGAAAAAAAAGAAAAAAAAGAGGAAAAAATTTAAAAAAATTCGAAAAAATTATTAAAAATATTTACAAATTGTCACATCAGTGGTGGCCAGACTGCCGGTGTCCACATTAGCACCGGCTGGTCAAAATTGGTTGGATGGACTGAATTGGTACAAAAAAAAAGTTTAGAATTGAATTGGCACAATTGTAATTGATTTAGGACTATTTTAGTAATTTTCCCCAAAATTCGAGTCAATTTCAACTGATAGTAGTAAACTAAAATCCGTTCATGATATTCCATTATGGTGTGTACCTGCCAATCCCAACCCAAATCAGTTTGAGATGGACCCGGAGAAGGTTGAGATGGACCTGGAGAAGGTGGATTGACGTAGCACGTCAAATTTCCGTCGGATGCGACGAGGCCTGCGAAAATCTTCCTGAGAGTGTCATTTCTTGGAGAAGCTCCATCAATGGCATTGCATATCGCTTCCACCGGACGTTTGATTGGATCATTGTACTGAGCAGCATCCGCGTAGACCGATTGCAAGTGGTACTTGAGCTCTGAAGAACTTTCCAATGGTCTAACAAAAGATAAAGATATGCATAATTAGATGTATATTAGTCTATAAAGCATATCCTTTAATATTTTTTAAAACCAATATCAGAGCTTGAAACATTATATCATGTTAGACGCATTCCCTTTGTTTAGCGAAAGTTCATGCTATTATGGAATAAACTGTCAGTATAAAAAAAGGTTTTCACAAACAGTCTTATCCGCCCTAAATTTGATGGTAAGTGAAGGAGTTGATAGCTGGAATTCTAAAATCAAGAATGGATAAACCGCCTGTGCAAAGGTTTTTTTCACCCTTAGTGTATGCTATAAATTTTCAATTAGATATATCTAACAACTTTTTATTTTCTAAGAGTTACTTGTACTACAGAACACACTGAAAAATCTCCAAAATACAATATGATGCACGATCCCAATTCCATTATCCATGCACCTGCAAGTTTTAAAAGTTTTGCTCAATTTCGCAAGACCATGAAGCTTAGAAGCAACTCTATCAATTTCCTCCCAGGATCTTCTTATGGTTTGGTGGCAAGAAAAACTAGTTTCCTGAAAAATTACCCAAACAATTATTCAAGTGATCGATTCAATTGCAGAAAATGCATGCTAAAGGAAAAAGGTATAAATCGAGCAAATTAAGATTACCAAAAAATCTTTTGCCACTTGTTAGAGATATATATTTGTGATATTCTGTGATTCTGTATATCTTCATTTATTTGTTACTTTAGATAGTCGTTATGTAAAGCCTATAAATAAGCTCGTGTACTATTCACTAGAAAATGTATAGAATGTTATTTTTCTCTTCATTCACAATTCTCAACTTGGTATCAGAGCTAATGTTATCTGAGGTGCGCCCATCGAGTCTGCTACACGGTGGCCGTCACGACGCCAGCTGACCGCGTCACTACCGATTCTTCATCGAGAATGAAGCTTTTAGTCACTGTTTGACATAATTTTGTCACTCATTTAGAAAAATTGTCACCACCATTAGACTTACCAGCCTCAGACGAGCGAAATACTGAAATTTTGTCGCCAACGGACGCCGAACGCCACCACATGCGCCTCCACGCGCCGTCGCATCTCGGACCCGGGAAACCTGCCACAATTCCGTTGTGATTTGGATGTCTTCCGCCGCGTGTTTCGGAAAGCAAACACAAACCCAAGACTCACCGTCCTCCGCCGAGCCAGCCCGTGAAGTTTCGCCGCCAAAAATCGCCGGACGCACCCTCACGTGCCATCCAAAGGATCTGCGCGTGAGATCCACGCGCCACTGTAGCAACACGCACCTACACGCGCCATGTGTCTCTGCTATGCTGACGGCATCTAACACGTCAACGCCACATCACCTCAGACCGGACCATTGACCAGGTCAGACCGGACCGTTGACCGTTTCAGATCGGATCGGTCGGACCGTTTCCGTCGTATTTTTAATCGGTTTGATCGTTTTCTGACCAGTTCTTGGTGATTTGTGACCGGTTCTCAAGGTTTTTCAGCGTGCTGAGTTCATTTTTGGGCTTATTTTTTCCATATCTGCTCTCCAGGTACTGTTTTCTTAACATTTATTGTCCAACCTACTATGTTTAACACGGTAAAGTGCATATGATGGATAAATTTTGTAAGCATTGTCACCGACGTGGTCATATGGCATCCCATTGTTATTGATTATGATATAAGCAACCTATTGGGCCAATCAATCAACTCCGAAGCCGAGGTTCATATGCACATCCATCTACCATTGCTGCTGCTGTAGATACTTCTTCCAATGGATTGTCGATCAGTTTCTCACTGGAGGATTTCCATTCCATTCTTCAAGAATCTGGTACTTTTAGCTCCTATATTTCTCCTGCTATGTCTGTCGCTTCAGGTAACTCTAATTCGTGGTATTTTGATTCCGCTTGCTGCAATCATATGACATCAAATTCTAATTTGTTTACGTCAAAATCCTTCCCTTCACATGCACCTACTATCCATACAGCCGATAATTCTCTAATGCAAGTCAGTCATACATCACACATTTCCACATCCACATTGTCCTTACCTAATACCTTTATGGTTCCCAAACTCTCTCTAAATTTAATTTTAGTTGGACAATTATGTGAACTTGGCTTTGATGTTCACTTCTCTCCTTATGGTTGTCATGTGCAGGATCCACGGACGGGATAGACTATTGGAACTGGCCATAGAGTGGGACGCCTATTTGAGCTCGTTTCTTTAAATATTCCCAACTCTTTTACTAGTTGTGCTGCCAGAGTGTCATTTGAAACTTGACATTCTCATTTAGGTCATCCTTCCTCTTCTAGATTAAAATCCTTGATTTTAAGTGGTCATTTAGGCTCTGTTGATGATAAACATTTTCATTGCTTGCCTTGCCAATTAGGAAAACATCATGCCTTGCCATTTGATCTTAGTGAATCTATCTCTCATGCTCCCTTTGATCTAATTCACTCTGACATTTGGGGACCTTCTCCAACACCCACCATGGGAGGTTCTCGTTATTTTGTCATTTTTGTTGATGATTATTCTCGTTATACCTGGCTTTATCTTATGAAAAATCGATATGAGGTTACTCGTATCTATCGTGATTTTGTTGCCATGATAAAAATACAATTTTCTAAAGATATCGAGGTTTTTCGTACCGATAATGCCATGAAATATCGAGACATGGAATTTCTTAGACTTCTCTCCTAACAAGGTACTCTTATTCATCGTTCATGTCCAGGAACTTCCCAACAAAATGGTCACGCCGAATGTAAACATAGGCATATCTTGGATGTTACTCAAACTCTTTTAATCTCTGCCTCTTGTCCAGAAAAGTTTTGGGGGAAAGCTTGTCTCACTGTTGTTATACTATCAATCGTACCTCGTCCCCTATCATAGACAACATTTCTCCTTGTGAGCGTTTATATGGCAAGGTTCCCTATTACAGTCGTCTTAGAGTCTTTAGTAGTGCTTGTTTTGTGCACCTCCTTCCACATGAGCGCACAAAGTTAGAACCCTGTGCTCATTTATGTTACTTTCTTGGGTATGGCATTGAACACAAGGGATATACATGTTGGGATCCTATTTCTAACCGTCTTTGTGTGTCTCGTCATGTTTCATTTTGGGAACATAAGATGTTCTCATCCATTCATCCCTTTGAATCTTCTACTCATGTCCCTTTCTTTACCAATCCTTCAGTGGATTTATTCCCGGAAGATCCTGTACTACCATCAACTTGTGAATCTTCCTCTCCACAGTTGTCTTCTTCTCACTTGATGCAGGCCCATCTGGCGATCCCACTTCGGCAACTTCTGACATGTCTGCCCCAACCGAGGATCCTATGTCTTCAGCCATTCCATCTACTTCTGTTCGTTGTTCCACCAAAGTAAGTCAACCTCCGACTCATCTTCGTGATTATCATTGTTACTCTACCATTGCTTCTCTTCACGAACCTCGCACCTATAAAGAAACTAGTACTAATCCTCTTTGGCAGCAAGCAATGGCAAATGAGTTGCAAGCCTTGGAAAACTCTCACACATGGGATTTGGTTGAATTACCTCCTGGTAAGTCTGTTGTCGGTAGTAAATGGGTCTATAAGATTAAAACCAAGGCAGATGGTACAGTTTCCGCTATAAAGCTCGGATAGTAGCAAAAGGCTTTATTTAGGAGTATGGCATTGATTATGATGAGACTTTTGCCCCTATTACGCGTCTTACTTCTGTTCGCAGTCTTTTTGCTGTTGCCACTGTTAAACGTTGGCTACTATTTCAAATGGATGTTAAAAATGCATTTCTTAATGGCAATCTCACAGAGGAAGTTTATATGGTACCTCCTCCTAGATACTCTCATTCATCTAATAAAGTGTGCCGATTACGTTGGGCATTGTATGGATTGAAGCAAGCTCCCCGTGCATGGTACTCCAAGTTTAGCTCAACTATAGAATCTCTTGTTTTTAAATCCAGTTCTTATGACCATGCTCTCTTTGTTCGGCGCACGCATCGTGGGTACATTATACTGCTTTTATCTGTGGATGATATGGTTATTACTGGCGATGATCAGACCAGCATTATCAAACTCCAGCAGTATCTTAGTAAAAAATTCGAAATGAAAGATCTTGGGTGACTCAGCTATTTTCTAGGCTTGGAGTTTGCGTCGGATGCTACTGGTTATTGTTTGTATCAGGAAAAATATGCCACTGATCTTATTTCTCGAGCTAGGCTCACTGATAACAAGATTTCTTCTACACCCATTGAGTCGAATGCAAAATTCAATGACAAGGATGGAACTCTTCTTCCGAATCCTACACTTTATCAACAGTTGGTTGGTAGTCTTATATATCTCACCGTTACACGTCCTGACATCGCTTACGCTGTTCATATTGTTAGTTAGTACATGGCCGCACCTCGTACGACTCATTTTGTTGCGGTTCTTCGAATTCTTCGCTACGTCAAGGTTACGTTGTTTCATGGTCTTTATTTTTCTGCTCACTCTACCTTGGAGTTGACAACTTTATTCTAATGCTAACTAGGCTGGTGACCCTCAAGATCGTCGCTCCACTACAGGCTACTATTTCTTTTTGGGCAACTCACTTATCTCGTGGCGTAGCAAGAAACAAATCACTGTCGCTCACTCTAGTATAGAAGTAGAATATCGAGCTCTTGCTGATATAACATCGGAGTTATTATGGTTACGATGGCTACTTGAAGACATGGGAGTGCGTCATCATAGCGGAACGGTAATTCATTGCGACAACCGGAGTGCTATTCAAATTGCACATAATGATATTTTTCATGAACGCACCGAGTATATTGAAATAGACTATCATTTCATCCGATATCATGTTCTTCGTGGCATCGTTCGACTTGTATCTACTTTCTCCACTGAATAGACTGCCGATGTCTTCACCAAGACACATCCACCTGGGCGTTTTTTGGATCTATTCTCCAAACTCAAGTTGGCATCTTTCAAATCATTTTGAGTTTGAGGGGGGATGTTAGAGATATATATTTGTGATATTCTGTGATTCTGTATATCTTCATTTATTTGTTACTTTAGATAGTCGTTATGTAAAGCCTATGAATATGCTCGTGTACTATTCACTAGAAAATGTATAGAATATTATTTTTCTCTTCATTCACAATTCTCAACTCCACTATTGTATAGTATGTATCCCGAGGCGTGACGTCAAGAAAGTCGAGAATTGGAGCGGATGATGCCAAAGCTCCGAGCGCCACATGAGGGCACTTCAATCGGAACCATGAAGCTAGCACTGAAAATCAAATATTTGAAGATTGAAAGACCTACTTATAAGTGATATGTAGAATATATGTTGTTGACCTTTTCCTTGTGACCTGACGGTAGGAACTTTCTTCAATGCCATTCAGGGCAAGCTATCGAACTTTATATGGATTGTCATTGTCAATATGACTAACGCTCTTTAGGAAAAGCTCTATCCACGATATGTTCAAGAACAATGACTGTCGGCAGATTATGTGTTTATTGCATCCTACTATAATTAATGGGAATCGTACATTAGAATTGTCTCTTCAATGTAATCAGTGGACTATTTTCTTTAATTTCGATTTATAGCAGTAGTCATATTGCTGATATCTGAAAATATATTCACTTACTTCCCCCATATGATCCTCCAATGACAATTATCGGAAAATGTTTGGCATTCAATTTCAGTTTCAGTTATATAAGGATTTCTGCGTAATCGGCAAGAGCTTGCGCGGAGCTAAAATATCCGCGAGTGTTAGCGTCACTTAGTGCTTTGTTGAGCGTCAACCCGTACGGGATTGATTCACCATAAAACCAGTGCTGCAAGATTTCAACTTTACGTTTGTAAATTGCGTGAATATGTAAAAATGCACGCCAAACATAACGGAAAATGAAGGTAAAACTAGGCAAATTATATAGGGCATTTTTATTACCTCTACATAGACCAAAAGCGCTCTAAATTGAGCTGCGTTATCCATTGGAAACCCGATACCGGCTATGTCGTTGTCAATGGGTTCTTCTTCACCGAGATAAGCAAAGATCGGGGCACTTGCATTTGTACCACCCCAGTATTTGGAATTGATCACATATCTTTGTTTGAAAGTAGTGTAACTTTCCGGCTTGTAATTAAAATGATCGAGGGTTTGGTTGTAAAAGAAAGTCTGGAAGTCCTTTGACGAGACGGAGGCTTGAACCGCCCATGTAGGATCTTGAATAAATGTCCGGGGGAATACGCTCAGCTTCGGAATATAATGGCCATCTAAGTTCTTCCCGGTAGCAACACAAGCTGAAAAAAGCATCAGAATGATCAAAAGGCTATAAAGTGATGAAGACATGTTTGGGGGTGTGGTTATTGCTTAGGCTAAAGCATGAATGCGAAGAGAAGGATCCTTGAGATGTTTTTTGGCTTCAACTAGTTCACATTTATATAGAGTAACCCACGATACCAATTTGTACTATTATTTCTATGCGAAATTACATTAGAATTGTTAAAATATATCTCAAGTTTGAGTATGTGTACAAGACTTAATTCGATTGGAGGATGTAAATCGGTTTGTTAAACAAAGTATATAGGAAAAGAAAAGGAATCCCAATGGATCACGACCTTATTTGGATTAAAATTTATTTTCTTGAAGACCACATTAATTCACGTAACGATTTCTTTCCTCTTGGAGAAAACTATCCTAGGTTGCTGCACCAAAGAATTAACTTTCTGGCTGGATGGTGGGTATTTTTCTTTATCTGTGATTCCGGTCAACAAGAGTTAAATTTGGAACAAAGAAAAACAAGGATAACTTTTTGGTAAGATCCATAGGACGTAGTCTTTTGTTCTTATCTATTATTGAAAAAGCCTTCTTGAATCAATTCATCATCCATATTTTTTGTAATAGCAATTCAACATATCATTGTTTCAAAGCAAGAAGATTGGCAATATATTCAGCTATCCACACTTCGGTATTTCGCTGTATGACCAACCAGTCTAAATCGGTTTGTGTCTTTGGTTATAAATCCAAATAGCGGGAACTTGCAAAACATATAATAAGTGGTGAGAATATATTTTGAGTTTGAGCCTCTAAAGGAAACCCGATCCAAGTAGAAAATATAAATCCAAATAGGGCTTGTGGTTTGACACCCAAACAAGCAAGAAATTACAAAAATACTTTCTACTTTGGAGTTAGATTCCTAATTTGGGTAAGTTTCCTTCTCTTGATTTTATTTGAGTGATTGGAGACAAGTTGCAAGCAACAAATAAAGTGGCATGGTTATATAACTTTCTTTGTATGGACAGCAATTATACCATCTGAAGTGTTCTTTAAGACCATAAGATTGAAAAAAAAAGGGCAAAAGGACACCAGAAGTGCCATAACTTGTGTACGGCGATCACTTTGGTGCCATAACTTTTTTTCGGATCACTTTGGTGCCAAGTCGGAGGAAAACAGATCACTTTAGTGACTCCGACCAAAAAGCTGACCAGGCATTTATATTAAAAAAAAATGGTCTGACTTGTACACGTGGAAATTATGTGGCTTTTTTTCGAATTTTTTAATTTTTAGAAAAAAAAAAAAGTTGCAGCAGCGGCGAGGGAGCCCTCGCCGCTGCTGCCGCTCACCGCCGCCGGGAAGGGCCGGCGGTGGTGGGGGCAAGTGGTTGGCGAGGTCGCCGGCCCTCGGCCGGCCCGGCGACCCTCACCAAGCCCGCCGAGGGCCGGATTCGGCGAGGCGAGACCTCGCCGTCGCGACCCGAGCGAGGCGAGACCTCGCCGTCGCGACCCGAGCGACGGCGAGGTCTTGCCTCGCCCGGCCGAAGGCGAGGCCGCGCCTCGCCGTCGCGACCCGAGCGAGCGAGGCCGGACCTCGTCGTCGCCCGGGTCGCGACGGCGAGGTCTCGCCTGGTCGGATCGGCCTCGCCGGGCTCGGCGAGGGTCGCCGAGCCCCCGGCCAGGCGCCGGTGACCCTTGCCGACCACTTTGCCCCACCACCGCCGGCCCTTCCGGCGGTGGTGGAGAGCGGCGGCAGCCGGCGAGGGCTCCTCGCCGCCGCCTTCTGTTTATTTATTTATTTATTTAATATAATATATATTTTTTTAAAAAAAAGTACACGTCAACGGGCTAAACGGCGTCGTTTTTGGTTTTTAATGCTGACTGGACCTCTTCGGCGAGCCGTGTCAGCGCCACATCGGATTTCCGGCGAGCCACGTCAGCATTAGCACTAAAATGATCGTTTTTTCAAAAAGTTGGCATCAAAGTGATCCGAAAAAAAAAAATACCACCCGCCTAGGTGGCGCTGCTGGAAAGGGCACTCTTCCTCTCGTAAAAGGTTGAGTGTTCGAATCCCGGGCGCCGCAGGGTGACTTAA